TCAGCCTTCCGGGTTTTTTGTGTTTCGAAATAGTCAAAAAGAAACCATTCAGAATTTCCGTACTTTTTGCATCCTTAATAGCCTCCACATAACTAATAAACAGCGTAGTTGTATAGAAAGCGGAACGGTAATCAACACCATCTCCTCCAAAATCTTCTAAAGACACCTGCAATGTATTTAATAATTTTAAAGCATTTAAAATTAATACTAAAAAAAAATAAATAAAAAATAAAAAAATGGTGTCCGGCCGGTCGGACCGGCCGGACCGGGTCATAACCGGCCGTCGTGGCCGGACACCAAGTGGGCCGTACAACCGGTCGGTTAGTACAACGACCGGTCCGTACGGCCATAATTTTCGCACGGCCAGGGGAGTGTCCGGTCGAACCGGCCGGACGCCTTTGTGAATGTCCGGTCCGGTCGGCCGGACACCGCCGGTGCCGTGCGAAAATTGTGGCCGGACAATTTTTTTTTTTTACCTCTGAACTGCTGGACATCTATCGAACACAAGAAATGAAAAGGGCAAAATCGTCCAAGGGGGGCGGTGACTAGTATTAAGGGGGGCGGTAAATAGTAATGCCCGAAGTAAAATGAATACTATTTTCTAGGGAACAAATATCCAATCGCAACAATTTCACAAACTAAAATGCAAATTGGGTTGTTTAGTAGGGTCAAAACTGAAAATTCTTATAAATTTGAGGACCAGATTTGCAATTTTCGCCACTACCCACCATTGTAGAATAACCCTCTGTTAATCTCCCATCACTCCACACTCAGTCTCCTCTCTCTCTAGGGTTTTATTTATCAGACCAAAAGCTGAGAAAAACATCTTTCCGATCCATACGACGCCGTTTCCGTTTTTCTCACTCATCTGTAAATTGCAGTACCGACATGGCGGAAGGGAGATCGGAATTTCAGGTCTACAATAGCATGACGAAGCAGAAAGAGACGTTCAAGCCGAGGGTCGAGGGCAAAGTCGGAATGTACGTCTGCGGCGTCACCTCCTACGACCTCAGCCATATCGGCCACGCGCGTGCCTACGTGGCGTTCGACGTCCTCTACAGGTCCGCTTCAGCCCCCCTCTTGATCGGGATTTGTGCCTTCAATTTTGTGAGGATTTGAGTGTTTGATTATCTACTTCGATGTGTTTATAGTGGAGTTGTGGTGCTTTGAAATTTGGAACTTGAGTGAATGGTGTTTGGTTAATGTGATTTTTGTGCGTGTTTTTGGAATTTCAACTTGTTTGTAGCATCGACTAGGAGCATCTGGTATAGTGAAATGTCCTGAAGCTGGGCTGATTCAATTTTATTTAGGACATTCATCTATAGATTGCTATCTTTAATGGCCGGTTTGTTGAAATCACTTAAGACTGTGAATTCGCCTGTGGCGAATTGCAGTCCTGCTGAATTTCAAGTAATTGGGTAATCTTTAAATGTACAAAATTGGAGACTGGGTTTTGATATATAGGAAAAGGCTATAATCCCGTCACGGAATGATTCCGTGAGGGTTTTTAGCCATTAAATAAACATGTAACTTCCATGTATCTACAATAACTGTATATCTAATGGCTAAAAATCCTCAAGGAATCATTCCGTGATGGGATTGTAGCATTTTCCTACTATATAATATACAACTTTGATTTTGCTAAGATAGCTAAGAGGTGTACAATTTTGTGAATGCAGCTTCAGGGGTTGTGGGATGAATTGTGGCATATTTTTCAAATGTTCCAATATTTTGATTATAACAAGATTTCTCATTTATACAGTACAACATGACAAAGTTAGTGACATTCCGTATTTGCTAAAATACAATTTGGAAAATTATTAATTGCTTTAGTTTTCTGACAGTCAAACTTTATTTTATAGTTCTATTTTCCGGTCTGACATATATTTTGCCGAAATATTATGCTGCAGATATTTGAAACATTTGGGCTATGAAGTTGTTTACGTTCGTAACTTTACTGATGTTGACGACAAGGTGAGACGTCCTTGACTAATGTGCCAATGAATGCGCGAAAGCTCTTGATATTTTAAGATAATCCAGTATGATGAAGTGAACTTGTATATTTATGAAATCTACTATGATTTTTGGCGTCGCAGAATCATTGATATTAAAAATAGTTAGAAACGGTAAAGAAAAGGCGAGGCATTGTGAAAAGGTGCCCTAGGATCTGTCATTGATTGATTGAATGACAGCAACTCAATCAACGACAACAACTCTTCAAAAGATCAACAAAAAATAATCGAACATTTTTGGGAAGGGAACATGTATTTTTATCCTCAAAAGCGTTCTTCCACTAGCCCCTGTGTGTGTACATATATAATATTGTGGAAGTGTTTAATAGTTTGGTCCTACCTGAATCTTATGAGAAATTCATATCCAATGTGGTTCTGAGTAATAATATCTCAATGGAATGAATTGTTTTATCGTGATTTCAAACACCTAGCTTAGTGTCAAACCACAGTGCACACATTGTAGTCATGTATTTTCATTTTTTTTTTGCTGTCGTTCAATATTTCAGTTATATATATTCATGTTTACATTGTTTTCCTCCTGATGTATAAATGTGGAGTGATTTGATACCCTGATTATAACTTTCTTATTTGGGCTGAAGCTCAATACCCACCATATATACTTATGTGATCTGCCAATGAGATTAAAGACAAATAATTAATAGTGGCCTTCGGACCTGCATTTGTTCCTTAGTTTTCTTTATGTTATGGCTCTGATCAGTGGATCATTTCAGATTATCCGAAGAGCGAACGAGGTTGGGGAAGATCCAGTAGCATTGAGTGGAAGGTTTTGCCAAGAGTTCCTTAGTGACATGGCTGATCTCCAGTGCCTTCTGCCAACTCACCAACCACGTGTTACTGATCATATGGAGCAAATCAAGGACATGATAGCACAGGTTCTTTGCACCCATTATTTCTCTATTTTATTTGAGCAAACTTATGATTCATCCTGAATAGTTTCCTGTGTAAAATTCCTACTTTGACTAGTTACTTTTATCTTGCCGATTTGGAAGTGAAAATGAGTAGCTTCAGTGAATAATTATGCTGAAATATGCCGGCTGGTGATTTATGTAATGCAATAATATGGAAGTTTTGTTGTCTGTAAAATATGTTTTTCCTTTTTTAGTTTTTTTCTGTCTTTCTTGATATTAGTAGTGATGAGGAGCAGCGGCATTATTTTTGGAATTGTCAATAATTATTTGATTTGTTAAGAATTATTTTAATTATCAGTTTCAGTTCTCTTTTCTTTTGACATATTTGCTCATATTCTTGCAGATTATTAGCAATGGTTATGCGTATGCTGTAGATGGAGACGTTTACTTCTCGGTCGACAATTTCCCCAATTATGGTATTCTATCCGGACGCAAGCTAGAAGACAACAGGGCTGGAGAACGGGTTGCAGTCGATGGTAGGAAACGAAATCCTGCAGATTTTGCCCTGTGGAAGGTTTAAAACAGCTCCAAATTTTACCAGTTCAACTCTCGTTGTATGCTTATGACATGCCTTGTATGATCCTTATTCATTCTCTTTTGTTTTTCTTGATAAATTATGGCAGGCTGCAAAGCCAGGGGAGCCCCAGTGGGAGAGCCCATGGGGCCCAGGGAGGCCAGGCTGGCATATAGAGTGCAGTGCCATGAGTGCCTACTACCTGACGCATGCTTTTGATATTCATGGCGGTGGGATGGATTTGATATTCCCACACCATGAGAATGAAATTGCCCAGAGCTGTGCGGCTTGCTCAGAGAGCAAAGTTAGTTACTGGTTGCATAACGGTTTTGTCACAGCCAATGATGAGAAAATGTCCAAGTCCCTAGGAAACTTTTTCACCATTCGCGAGGTAAATAAGTGTTGCCTTGGTTCTGCTGTGGTACTCCTTTTTTTCCTTTTTTTTTTTCCCTTTTTTTTCTTCTAAATTTTGTTTCCATTCTCACACAGGTTACGAAATTGTACCATCCGCTTGCGTTGAGGTACTTCCTGTTGGGGACCCACTACCGTTCCCCGGTCAATTATTCAATATCTCAGATTGAAATTGCATCGGATTCGGTTTTCTACTTGTATCAGGTGTGAAACATTCTAAGTGTGATAGCTTGGTGTGTATTGAATTTCATAAGCTTCTTCGTTATTCATAAATAAGAAATCTTCTTGTGTCTAGAAAAGTTGACAAAAACATTTCTCTTACATTAAGCAGAGGGAAGCTATTTATGATAATCAATTTAAACTCTGTAGTGGCTAATTGTTGCATGCTTACAGACTTTGCAAGACTCTGAAGATGCTTTATCTGAATCAAAAGAAGAGATGGGAACAAATGCAAAACCTGCCCGTATCAGCTCTGATGCACAAGAATTCATCAACAAGCTGCGGAAAGAGTTTGAGTCGAAACTGGCAGATGATTTACACACACCCACCATTCTGACTTCTTCTCTTCAGGAAGCCTTGAGATTTATAAATACTTACCTAACCAAGCTGAAGGTGTGTTTTTTTGATTCACATAGGGTGTTTTGTATATAAAATACCTCAATTCATATTCAAAATCAAAATCTAACTCAACTCCGCTATCCTCAATATTATTAGTATAATTAAATACTATGAACCAATCATTCTTACACATTACAACAACTTTAATTTACTATTTATCCACTCACATAATTTTAACTAACCATCACTTCACATAATCTCTCTTCTACTTTATATCACTTCACATAATCTCTCTCCTACTTTTATATCAAATCAACTTTAATTATTTTATTTTAATTATTATTTTAAAATAAATCAAAATTCCACTAACTAACTAACCATACCACTTTTTTTAAGAAAAAAATAAGTAACTATGGTTAACCAAAAAAACTTATTTTGAACAGATATAATTGTATCCAAGCACTATTAGGGCTTGATTGTTTATGAAATAATTTGTTAAAAATGAGTTATTTTGGTTAACTATAGTTAATTTTGAAAATGTAGTATGATTAGTTGTTAGTGGAATTTTAAGAATGTATTAAAATATTATTTAAAATAAAATGATTAAAATTGATTTGATATAAAAATAAGAGATAAATGATTGGAAATGATAGGTAGTTAAAAATATGTGGGTGGATGAATAGTGAATTAAAGTTGATGTGATGTGTAAGAATGATTGGTTTGTATTATTTTTACTTATATGAATAATATTAAAGATAATGGGGTTGAGTTAAAGTGAGTTAAATTTTGAGCTGAAATAAAAGTGAGTAAATTAATCCATAAACAAGCAAGCCCTAACTTTTTCTGTGTGTAACATGTGCTTATCCTAGACATGGCCAAAAACCGGGTCGGGTCACGACCCGGCCCGGCCCGCCGGGCCACTGGGTTGGGTTTTGACGACCCTGAAACAGCACGGACCTAGAGTCGTGCCGGGTCCATGATCCGGAGGGCCGGGCCGGGCCCGACCCGGGTTTGGACCCAGCCACATAAAAAAATAAAATAAAAAATTCAAAAGCAATGTTTTTTCCATGTCGGCCCGGACCCGACCGGCCCGTCGGATCAAGGTCGGAAAAAATGACCCTTGACCGACCCGTTTGAAATCCGTGCCGGGCCCGACCCCTTGGTCAACGGGTTTGACTGGGCCAGGTCCGTGTCGGTTTTGTGCCGGGTCCGGGCCGGGTGACCAGTGGCCATGTCTAGCTTATTCAATGGTTCTAATTATTATTATTTTCATTATCCAGAAAAAGCTGCCAAAGCAACAAAAATTATCTTTTCTTAAGGGCCTTGAGGAGCTCCAGAAGGAAGTCAAACAAGTCCTAGATGTTCTTGGCTTGCTTTCGAGTTCAAGTTATGCTGAGGTATTTTTTAACCTACTTTTCACATTGTTTAGACTAACTAGAAACAGCTTCTAAGGTTTAGTTTCCTACAGTAAAAAAAAGGTCCAATTTGGTAGATATAAGTGTTGCAAAACTCAAGGTTACAATTCATGAAAAGAAGAAAAAACAAATATGAAGAAGGTATCCTTTATCTGATGTGGTTTATCTGCTATTTCAGCTAAAACGAATGATATTATTTGTAATTAAAAAATTCAGGTTTTGGGCCAACTGAAAGACAAGGCTTTAAAGAGGGCGGGCATAACCGAAGAGGAGGTTTTGCAGTCGATCGAAGAAAGAACATTAGCACGGAAGAATAAAGAGTTTGAGAAAAGTGATCAAATAAGGAGTGATCTTGTGGCTAAGGGAATTGCTTTAATGGATCTCGGAAAAGACACAGTTTGGAGGCCTTGCGTGCCCGCTCAACAAGAACAGAAGGGCGTGCCAGCTCAGCACGATAACGTAACTGCCCCAGCTGCAAAGGGCCCGCCGATCACATCCACCGATAAATGAAAGTATGCGGTATAGCTTATTTATCTAACCTGTGAACTAATTAAGTCTATAACTCTTCGTGATTAGATATACATGCGACTTTTGAGTTTCGCTCTTTAACTTGTTTGTCCATTGGTATACAAATGTTTCATGGCTTTGGACCCTCTTTGGGAAGCTGATGGAGAAGTTGATTTTTTATTTTTATTTTTTCGGTGGAGGGTCAGGTAAAGGCGTCAGGTATTGGGTTATGGTAACTACTGCCTGCACATTTTGAGTTGATCTTAAATGTACTCTGATTCTTGTGTTTTCTTGTTTTATAAGGAGTGTTTAACTGTCCATCTTTTTTTTCCAGACAGGTTAGATTTTACTTCCTGTGAAATTGGGGTTTATCTGTTGATTGATTGAAAGGCTGCCTTTGATGGATTGCTTGTTGATTGTTCAAATGAGAATTCTTGTTTCTGTTTATTTGTGTTTAACAAATTTATTTGTTTGAGAGCTTGAATATTAGAAATTTTTCATTTTTTTTTTTTGTTTAATAGAATAAAATATTTTAAGAAAAATAAAGTACATAAATAATATAATATAATAATATATTAAATAATTATAATAACAAAACCAATATATAATTATATAAATTAAAATAAATAATAAATAAACAAAATGAGTTGAAATGAAATACCACTTTTATTCCCAATTATTATTTCAGATTCTATTTATTTTATATGAGTGTCAAGTAATAGATACTTTATTTTTTTTTAACAGTCAATTATTTCTTATAATTACTTTTATATGGATAATGTTTTTTTTTTTTTTGTATTTATGTTTAATAAAAAAGTGGCAATTTATTTTTAGTTATTTTTAGTTTATTATAATAAGTTACTGTTTAGTAAAATTAATTTAACATAAATTACATGTTATCCTTTTAATTTAATTTAGTTTATTTGTATATATTAAAGACTAGTACAACGCCCGTGTATTACACGGGTGTGTGCTAATTTTTTTCTTAAAATATAAAATTCATGATAAAAATAGTTGAAAATCTAAATACTTTTTATAAAAATATATATATTATTATATAGTTAGTATGAGATTTTTTATTTGTGCGACTTACATGTGTTATATTGTAATAATTTTTTTAACTTACAACAAATAACTATATTAAACATAAATATATCAATTGAGAAATAATTTTATTTTTCTAATGAATTTTTATATATATTATTATTTATTATTATTATAAAGATAAATATAATTTATTTATTTCATATATACAATATGGATGTCAAATCGAAGATCATCAAAAGTTGATTAATTTGATATATTATATATGTAAAACTGATAAGAAATACAAAAGTTATCAACTTTTAAAGTACATTTACAATTCAATATCTAATTGAAGGAAACAAATCAAAAGTCAAGGATATATTAGTCACTTAGTGTCTCACTATGTAAAATACAAAGAATTAAAGAGTTATATTAGTACAATTGATATTAAAATACTTAAGTTAGCTAAATAATATTTATGGAATGTCCAAACCTAAATTATTAATTATTAATATATCAATATTATTTGTCCAAACCTAATTATGAAACATGATTTTCACCAAGTAGGATTACGAAGCACCAGAAGCAGCCACGTAGGCTCAACGCATTCTGGAATTATATATAGGGAGGATTAACTAAATCAATGGTAATTGTGAGCTATGTAATGGTTCGAGTGCAATACTTTTTTCTAATGGGGAATTAATGAAAAATTAACACTAAAAAAAAAATTTGTGTATCAGTTACTTAAAATGGAGCCTCAGGCATTTAACATTTTTTTTTTAAAAAAAAATATAGGTTAAAAGTAAGCATATTTGAATAAATATCCCTTTATAAATTCTAAGGTATCAACGAACCGAGAGTCATAAAGAAAAGTTCATTACTTGGTAAATTGAGTCGAGTTCGAATGAAAACTCAAATTTTTTTAGTACATAGACATTTTGCCAAAAAATTCGGAGATTTTGCCAATTTAGTCTTTCTTACAATGTACTATATATACTATATATATTGTAAACATATCCAATTTATATATATCCCCTCGTTACTAGTTATTAAAACTAGTATCTTCACCCGTGCGATGCACGGAACATATTTATTAAAATATTATAATAAATACATTAAAATATATATATATATTATAAAAAGTAAATGACAAATAAATAACATTATTATTGAATAGATAGTAAAAGTACAATATTATATGGTATTACAAATTATGAAAAACTTCTTGATAGACAACATTTTTAGTAGTTTTCTTTTCCCCATTGTCGTCCCCCCACATATTAATATCTTAAATCCTGTGGATTAGTGGCTCGAGACACATTAAAGTATAATTGACCATGACTAATAAACACCAGTCTTTTCATGTAAAGTCCGACATGGA